AGTGTCTATTATTATGCCCAAACGTAAATATGCTAAATACATTTGATTTCCGCTTGTCGCTTACGCTTGTGCCTCTATCACCATAACCTCATCCTAAGACAGAACAAGCGATGCGCGTATCGAAGACGTGCAAAGTTTTAAGTCAGACGAGAACCCGTGTTCATTAAGAACAAACCTACAATTCCATTCTTGTTACAATTTAAATTTACTATGCAGACTTGTTAGCGCACATTTAATATTTAATTTTCAAGTTTGGAATATTTCTAGTAAAATTTTTGGTTGATATTTTGAACACCTTTTTTAACGCCTACTTAATACACCTAGCGGTTTATCATTTCATCATACCATCACATTATTATTTCAGAAAGATTATATAAATATTAAAATTTTCATTGACTCATCTCCAAGATTATTTTTCAGTCAATCAGGTCTAAGTTCTAAACATAGCTAGACACTTTCTCTGAATAATCCAACTTCATAATAAATTTAAAAGAACTAAAATATAAAAGCTACACAATATTATTATTTATATGAAAACTTTTTGAAAAACCTTCCAAGAAATTTTAATGTTTTCTTAACAAAGACTTAGCAAGACAAACAAACCGTCTCATAAAACATAGAATGTGTCTAAGTTGCCATAACAAAAAAGCTTATGAAACTGTTTAAGTTGGCAACCCCTAAGGAAGTTTACGAGACGTAGGTATCCGTTTTTCCTTCTACCCGTGTAGCAATAAAAAACTATCGTATGATGTTATGAAACTGTTTATTTTTCATATTGAGAACAAGTTTTAATTTCGATTTAATAAAATTACACAAGAACATAATATGTTATGACTTTTCGCAAAACTATTGCAAAACGGTCAGAAGCTCGAGAAGTCAATATAATCATACTACGAGTATTAGCCAAGTTTCAGTAACTACATGGATTGAAACTTCCAAACAAAATTGCTTTAAAAAAATTGAGTTCTTATAAACGATGCCGAGTCACTTTGATGAACAATCACTTCTATCGCAAACATTCATCAACAAAAGTATATTTATCAAAAAACAAAACACTAAAGGGGTTCTAAATACGAATGAATATAACAAACAAACGCGACAGGACAACGCCCTATTTTTGAGTGTGCAAACATATAAATATGTATTAGATAAACATTACGAGGTCCGTCGAAAAATGGCGGCTGAAGGGTCCAATTAATTTCGTAAGTCCAAACTCTTTTATTAAATTATAAAATGTGCTACCCACGGACTTGTGATATGTCAATTTCATAATTAAAATGCATTTGACCGTGCACGGAGGGCCCACGAGATTACGAGCGCAAATTGAATATTCCGTTTTGAAAGTGAACCCGAAAATATGAATGAAGTCATGAAGAAATTTCATCAAACACAATTAAAAAGGCCCGTTTATGAATTATTTAATCCCTTGGCGTTTTGTGTTATTAATTTTATGAAGCATTTATTGCTAAAACGGTTCTCTGGTTATGTTGTCTCATTTTAATTATTTTTCTATAATTTTGCATAATTATGACTTCGTATAGCGTGAAAATATGATCAACAGAGATAATCATATTCACACGATGAGCAAATATAGATCTTATCACTGATTTAATAAAGCTTTTGATTGAGTTGTTTATTAGGTATGTTGTATGTGTGTACAATTATAGCAAGTAAACCGGAGCAAGTTTTATCTCTCGACGAATTTAAATAGAAGGTTGCCTTACAGGAACAATACCTTACAACTAACAGACATTTCAACAGCTATGACTCAGCTTTATCTTACATTCCTTTACGTTTCCTATACAAACTTATTACAACTAACTTATTAAATTGTCAGATATTAACTTGAAGTGTCAAAATGCAATGCCCTCCGGTCAATTTATAAGGTTTCCTACAAAACGGGCGAGTTAGTCAACTGGCCATGATTTGAATCACATTCCATTTAATCAGTTTTTGTGTTCGTTATACTCATTGGAGTTCCCATTTTGAAATTATCAAGGGGTGATTCAGTGCAGGTGCATTTTTATAGGCCGTTAAATTGTTGTGCTTTTTTTGATGGTTGGTATTTTTAATTTCGTGGTTGCTGTGCTATACCTACGAAACTACTTATTTACATTTGAATGATTTAGTTCTTTTGGCTTGTTTGATTGCTAAAACTTTTCGAATTTAGTTTAATAACAATTACCTAAGTAAAAAATATGACCTAGTGTTTGAAGACATAAATTACGGTTGAATTGAACAGTCCATGAATATTTCATGTCTAGAAAGGAGCCCATTAAATATCTTTCATAAATGATGACGTCTAAAATTGACTACAGCAAGTATACAATTGTGATAACGCAACTAGATCAAAGACCCACGCGTGCAACCGGCCTAAAGCAAGTCAAATCACTCGACCCGCAAGTTCGCGTGCATGGACAGCTGACCTTCGTTATGCCGGATCAGAAAGCAAGCACTCGTTTCCCTATTACGTTTTATTTATAATTATTTTCTTTGTCCACAATTGTCAAATCAATCACGACTTTCGATATGGATCGATTGTCGCAGAGTTTTTAATTTTAAACGATTGTCGACCTTGTTGGCATACACGGATTTTCTCCAATTTCATTAGTATGTTATGGTGCTTATAATAGAAAATATTTTAATCACATTTTTACCTCACCAAAGAGAATAAAAATACGATGAAATCTGCTATCTCTAGTCAAAATAAAAAAAGGTAAATGAAAAATTTTGACTGGCTTGTGCCCGAAAATCCTTGAGTTTAAACTATCTCAAACTCACTGAATGTTACTTAGACTTTTAAGGACTGTAATTGTAATTAAGTCAGTTATTTCATAGCGCATCGCATAGCTCATACTCTTAGTCTAGTACTCTGTATAATTTTGGAATTCAGGACTAGGAATAAGTGAAACATTTAGACTGTCGAGACCAAATTCGAAAGTGGCGCCAACTGATGACGCATAAGTAACATTTCGCTTACCTTCCAATAGTTGGCTAACTAATTTATTTGTTTACCCAGAGAACAATGGATTGTTAGTTATTTTAAATGGAAGTGTTAGCAATAAATTACAGTTAAGAACCCGACTATGAACAAATTTTGTTAAATTCTTTGACCTTTTTACTTTATATGTTTATTAATCTGTGATCTCTTGCCAGAAATTATTGTTAGTAACTGAGCGCTATAACAACAAGAGATTGTCTATCGTAAAAGTATATTTATACCTCAATTAAATACACTAATGAATGAAGCAGCTATTTATTTATCATTCACAAGTCAAAGTTTTTAAAACCTGACGATACCTATGGTGAAAACATCGTAAGAACATATTGCCTTTTAAGTGCAAATTCAAAGTTTAAGTATCTCAAATTCGCCTTAAACAGGCGTAGTGTACAATTCTTCGTATGAGAAGACAGCCTTTGCTTAGCAATGAGCAACTGTAGAATGATGATGAATAAATCAAGTAAAGGGACTTTTTCGATTTTATAATACAAGTAACCGATATTGAGTATACAACCTATAAATAAAACCTCTGTGCTTTTATCGCATTAAAAAGTATTCATAATGGTACATACAATATGTACAACGACCCTTCCCATATAGTAACTGCCATAAAGTAACGTTTAAAAAGTAACACAAATACTATACAAATAACAAATATCGTATCTAATATTCATATTCTAAAACACAAACAAGGATAGAGATAAATATCTGACAGATTAAATACACAATTCCAGTTTTATAGTCAGCCATCGTAACAAGCCTAGCGTCCGTCAAATTCAAAATTGTTATAAGCTGAACTTATCTATATTTAAATCTATTGGCAATTTTAAACTTAACAATATGAATATTCTAAATTAAATATAAAATCAAATTAAAAACACTTCCGGAAATGGAAATCAAAATAATAATGAAATAAAATACATTTTAATACTTTTGATTATTTTAATAGTTATTGTAGTAGTTTTAAGTTATATGAAAACAAACTATAATATGAATATTTAAGTAAGAGTCCCGTTGCGACTTGAAGTTAGTAAACCATTTCTCAGTTGATTCACGTGCATACGCCTTTATTTTTTATAAAATTATGTCACAAACATACTTTTTTAGAATGTGTTAATTATTTTAATGTGTTTTTAAATAAATTATATAGTGCAGTCATAAGTTGCCTTGCTTCGTTTTGAAGTGACGGATATTTGTCATGTCGTGTGTAGATCGTGCAGGAGTCTAGATTCTGGATCACGACTATTTTGACTACGTGTATTAATTTACAGTGTAATTAAAAGCAACTATATACATTGCTCAATTACAGTCTCCCTTAAGTCTATTGTATTTATAGCGGTGCAAACATGCGGATTACAGTGCAATGCAAAGGTAAAAAATAAAACAGATCAAAATTCATTCGTTTATTTATAAATTATATACATGGGTTCTAATTATAAGTTCATTCACAACAAAATCACTGGTATATATACATTTCGGATCTATAAATTTTCTATATTGTTCGATTTACAATTCAAATTGATGTCCCATTTGCCCGTTATCCAGCTATAACACAACCAATCTCCCTTGGGGAACAATCAGTGGGAATCATGCAATAACTAGATACCCATGCAATTAAATAATACTACAGCATTATATAACAAAAAGAAATAATTTACAATCAATATGCTATTCTCCAATTAATAGTGCTTGGTAGAATAACGTATTAAATAGGTACATTGGCACGCACACATTTGTAACACAAGATTAGAAAATATCAAGTTTATGTTCCTATTGTGTTAGTAACCTTAAACGCCAGTCCTCGTCATCCGACATTCACTACTTACAAAATACTTGTAATTCAAAAACATAAATTAACTATTATACACGATATCTCCATTATAATTATACTAGTAAGATTTTCAAACACCCTTTTGTTAGTATTTTTTTTTTTGTATCAAAGCCAAAAACATGTGTTAAAGAAAAATACAGTCCTGTATAGCTATTCCTGATTAGGAATTGTTATACAGGGGCGTATTTCTAGTTTTCTATTACCAAAAAATTTAATCTCATGTTACAAATTGTACTTTCTATATTAGTTCTAACTACGTTGTGACTAGGAGGTCAATTCATCGGCCGTAGGGTTTACCTTGGGAGCCGGGAGGGACAAAGCCGTAGCCTGACGCTCCTACGACAACGCCACTGGTCTGGGAGGGGTCTCCGCTGGGGGAAGGAGGGAACAGCACTGGACCTGAAACATTACAACATAATATGTTAACACTATTTTCTTATTATACTAAATTTGCTGTGTGTGTGGTGTATTAACAAAATCTACCTCAATTTGCTTGAATTTTTTTTATTATTATTTATGAAAGTGGTAACAAACATTCTGTGATGGAATTTAGTCTGTAACATTCGTACTCGTAATCAATTTAAAGCTAGTATAACAAATATCTTTCAAAAGCATTTGCGTAAAACAGAAGCAAAGAAACAACCATCTGTATTTACAAACAATAGCTTCACACGATGGGAACCAACTAAATCTAAGTGCAATACCATGTCAACGTTATCAATCTAACCTTAACATTAAAAACATTCTCAGAATAAAAACGAAAAATGAACAAAGAAACGATTATTTTCGATCTAGACGATTAAAATCAATCTGACAGTTCAAAGATCAAATAACTGACTATTATAAAATTTGTCAGCGATCTGACAAAAGTGAATACGATAATCGTTTATCAATTTGTCAAGATTTTATCAATCAAGTAAACGTTTGACAATGAAAAACGTTAAATAGAACTTTGACACTTCATTTCGTGATGTGATAATTGAATGACAATGGCCTTTGGTCAAAATAGAATGGAGACACGAAAATTGGAACACGCTGTTGGCTGTTGTTATTTTAAAATTGATTTGTTTATTAATCGCTTCATTGGTTCCGTTGTTTGGATAATTTTGGTTTATAAGATTTTTATATCATGTGCAAAAACTTTGATTGTCGTTACAAAAAAAATTGGACGGGATTTGTCACTCAATTTGTGGTTTTAAGTTTACCATGAAATGACCTTTTGGCCTTGATCATTATGATAAGTAGTCTATCAGATCATGTTCAACGTCGACATGATCTCAACTTTACTTATGTAAAAAATGCAATAGTTTGTACGTTTGTTACACCTTCTATAAAAAGTGTGGAATAGATTTGAAATTTCATACAGAAATGGACCTGGAATGATACTTAAACGTGGGCGAAGAAGCTAGTACAAAACATTGTCATTATTTAAACAAATACTGGAAATATGCTCCAAGCAAAATAACGAAGATGTCACCAAGAAATCCAAGGCTTAGAATGACATACAAAACCAGTATTTATCAGAAATCTACTGCTGAATGTACATTACTAGATTAGACCAGATGTTGAATTGGTTATTTCTAGACAAGACAGATATATTATACAGACAGACAGATAATAATGGGGATCAAAGAAGAAATGAAAATGAAATCGTCTATCAAAAAACCCACAGATCAAATATCGAAGTAAATATCCTTATAAGGTAACACCAATATTCAATAGCGATTTTAAGATAAACAGCTCCATTACCCGTACTAAGATTTCTTCAGTTTTTACCTCATAGATGTAGTTCCGATAAAGCAAGATAATCAAATTATATTGTTAGGTACATAGCTTCAACAAAGGTCAGATTCTAGATAACCTACAGACTTAGTAAAAAACACTAGATAAACACCCTTTCCCTTAGACAAATGCTTTGCTAGATTTTCATGCCAATAGATTTTATCTACTAAAATACTCAATCAAACCTTTATACAACAATTTATGTACCTAAAGCTTATCCTGTTTTATATATAAACTAGCAACCCGCTCCAGCTTTATTTATTGGATTTTATTATACAATTATATCTACATATAAACAATCCTCTCCAATCACTTTATTAAAAACCGCATCGAAATTGGTTGCGTAGTGTTAAAGTTTTAAGCGGACTTATAGGAACAAAAAAAGCTACTTTATTTTACACTATGCGCTACATAATATATTATTTCATAATAGTATAAAATAATAGTTTAAAAAAGCTAAACTTTTTGTCTAAACAAACTAAACTTTTACAGATAGTTTCTGCTTCTCTATCATATTTAATGTAGTTCATAGGTAAATTCAAACTTCAATTCTGTTATGTACCTATTTATATGTTAACTTTGACACAACAAGGAAGACATGTCGGTAATAATTAAAAAAAACAAAAACATGCGTAATTAAATTACGTATTATGTAAAACAAGAGCCGGATTCGAATAAATCCGGTAAATAATTTATTACGATGACATTTACGCATGTGAGTCGTTAAAAATCTGATACTTAAATAAGTATTTTAACTGTACGCACAATAATTGTCAGCAGACTTTCCTTAAATGTTCGATTTTTTTTGCAATATCGATGATTGGGTCTTTCAAAAAATAGGTACTTTGTTTTTATCCCAATTTCATCTAAGTCTAGGATGAGACGTCACTTAAAAGGAATATATTGTCTATTACATTAAAATTACTGCATAACTACTGCCCAAAACTCGGAAATTATGCCCGTTCTCTTTGTGGGGGGAAATCATCAAATGACTTCTCTCAGCCAGGGTTGGGTGAGAGGGAATGTCTGACTCTTACTCAATTGACTAACCTGACCTGACCTACGTTCCTTCTCCTGCTCTGGGAAGCAGCAGTGCCTCATTGCACTTACCCCAAGCACAAATATATTGCAACAAAATGTATCCTAAGTTGTAAGACCAGATATTGCTATTAGCCATCCACCACACTTAATGTGACCATTCATGCGATTATGCGCAAGGGCAAAGCGATTAATTCACGATATCGCAAGATTTAGCACAATGTATTTATCTTAGTCACCTGATGAGCGTCATCTTGGTTTTCGTGTTATCTTAATTATAGTGTTTTAATTTGTCGTATAGGTATTTATAAATCACAATTTTGTTATAATAGTTACAACATTCAAGAGGTATCGGGTCCTCTACCTTGTTTCACAATGTACTGTTGTTATGTATATGTTTTTTTGTGTTCATTACACAAATTTTGTACTTAATATTGTACTTGAAATAGAATCCTAATACATAAATTATTACATAAAATATTACGTACGTACTTAGAGTGATGTATGATAAATAACCGAAAAAGAATTATAAAGATATAACATTTCTGTTCGTAAGTTTGTCAATTAGCACAAGCTTCGAAAATACTGGACAGATTATAATGAACCTTTTCAACTTATTCGTTTTTGAAATAAGAACAGAAAAAGCAAAATGTCACTCACTATTCTAAGCCGACAAAGTTCCGGACAAAAACTAGTTTTTACAATAAAAAGAATTGAATTTCACAATCATATATTAATTCGTCAATATAATTATACATCCGTCTCTAATTTCCTACTTCCATACAGGTTATTTCTTTATTTCCTCATCTTTAATGAACACCTGTCTTCGTCTGATTTAAATTAACGATATGCTAAGTTATTTACATTAATTATGTTAAAAAGATTGATGGAATTAGAATTAATGAGTTCGTCTATATAATCTATTATCATATTGTTGTATTTTTATTTTGTTGTTCTATCTATTATTGTTGTATTAACCTAACCTAACCTAAAAAATCAGTTTTACGGAATTGAGTTGATAAATCAATTTGTCGAGCCTACTAATGTGTCTATGGATGCCTAAATCTAGCAATGGCCCAATTTTAAGTCAGTGTTGATGACTATAAACTATTTCTTGTTACTTTCCCTATATTCCAAAACTACATATAGTAATACAAAATTTATATAGATCCAAGCAACACCTTTATAGACCTTCGACAATTATATCAACTACAAGGCAACGCATTTTTTGCCTACTGTGATTACACAACTGCGTGCAAAAATACAAATATGAATACGTATACATACATATACATCTATAATAACATAGACTCACCCACTACTGATATTAAATATCGTATAATTATTACTCAATGAATTCAAATGTAAATCAGTAGCAGAACAAACTTTCGTTAACCTTTAATAAGATCTAATTATATTATCTGTGCCATAATTTACAAAGCATTGAGGTTCTATGACAAATAAGATGTTACTGGCATAATAGAATCGGGCGAACGTTCCGCCATTATTTGATTCAAGGATAATTCGAAATACAAACTGTATTTACTGCTGTATTAGCACAGTAATTATGCAAATTATTTGTTTGTTTATGTAGGCGGGAATGCATGATAAAAATATGATGTAAATGATCTTTATTTGTCTCATTTGCACTATATTATTTTAAAGACGTGAATAAAGCAGTTTTTAGAAATTTAATTATACAATTAATATCTTTTGACATTTATATTCCTGTAATACTAGATCAATGTCTAATATCATTTCCTTTTAAACTCGAATCTAAGCGATAACTAAAAATAAATGCCTAACACCACGTTCCTAAAAAACGTATGTATATAGTTCATACCAATTTCGAGCTATTCAGATATTGTTTGTACCCTTAGTCGGAAAAATATTGTACCTCATAAAACTTCTTCCGCATTATCCGTATCGCAAATAATTCGATCAACGTGATTATAATTATGTTTATTACGCATAATCTATTCGATACGTCATTACTTGGATAAGGAAACAAGAAACCCTAATTAGTGGTGTATTTATATATTATTAAATTCTTACTGGTGGTACCTACTTAAATTTACGCTAATATTTTCAATGGTAAATAACATTAATTTACTAATTAAAATTTATAGAAAATTATTTAATATTATCTGCTAATTTTTAATATCTTTTTATTTATAGCTTTGACAGTATTAAAACATAATACTAGTAATAAATTTTCGTTGGCAAGCGTCTGACACTCCAGGATGTTAGAATTCAAAAAAGGCCCACATCAGCGAAATTATGTAACCTAAAAATCAATACTAGCTAACATAAGTACCTAATTATTTCTATATAATTACACCCGCACAATAAAACGTTTCATAAGACGTTATAAGTAAATGAGGTCCCTTTAAAAACTAAATGATTTAAGGCCATATGAATGGCCCCGTTGGCTATTTCAGTGGCCCACATAGCCTTAGCATTTACGTAATGATTATATACATTTGATACTATGACAATGAAACAGTATATTATTATTAATAGTCTCGATAGAACGCGGCTAATGTGGTGAAATGTACCTATCTGAATACGTAATCCAT